GTTCAAAAAAAAAAAAGAAAGAAAAACATAACCTAATTAAAATTGGAGGGAAACGGCTATCGGCTATTAAAGATCATAATCATAATTGAGAGAAAAACAAGTTTTTATTACTCACAAGAATAAAAACAAGAGAATTAAAAAAAACTCTCAAGCTCTCCACAACTATACTTAGTTGTGTTTCAACACTCTCAAAATTGATTGATCACACCCTAGGATGATTTCAATGAATGAAATAAGTAGCCTATTTATAGATACAAACAAAAACACCATTATTGACAAATGGTGTGTGAAAGGAGAAGGTTGGTGGATGGTAGATGGCCAGCCATTGATGACTTCTTCATTGGTGTGCTGCATGGAACTTTCAGAGATGAACCCCCTTAGCACTCGGTTGACCCAAATTCGATACCTAGAATCACTCTCTTATTTTCTTATATAATAACAACGTAGATTAACAAATTCGATACCTAGAGCTAATAATATTTATATATTAAATTGTATTAATAATTATGATTATAATTGTAAAATTTTTAATTTAAAAAGTTATTGTGATTGAACAAAACTAATAAAAAAGACATTAAAATTAGATACGCTAAAAATTGGAAATTTTAACATATTATAAATAAATTACATTATGAACCATTGTGTTGGCGTAATTTTCAATGATTAATAAATGTTTTTTGCTACATTTTATTTTTATGAATTAATAATTAATTTTATTATATGTAATTCAAGTTGAACATAAAATGTTAGTGAGGTCTAATTTGTAAAGTTGTAAAATATTAAAATAAAACTTTTTATGATATTCTTTTTAAATATATTTTATGTATTATTTTATAATTTGTAGAATTATTTAGACAATGGACATAACTCTATGAACTTCTAAATTAAAATTCTATATCAAAATTCTATGTCATGGATCTTGAACGTAATCATCTTCTTCGGATGTATAAATAATTTGACATGAAAACTCTTAATCTAGTTAATTATATTCTTCCTTAATCTAGTTAATTATATTTTTTATTTTTATCAAAATTTAATGAACAATTATAAAAAACTATCATGTATAACTTTTTTCAAATAAAAATAATTCTCAAATATATTTATTTAAATATATGTTACACTGAAGCTGTCCTTAGAGGCTCAGGCTGCGACTCTATCAGCTGGGGACTCAGATCAAATGAATCATTGGGTACTGACTCGTCAAATGCTGCCAGATCAGACACATTACCGTTGGAGGGTCAACTGGACTCCTCAAATACTGCACACATTACCCTCATTGTACATTACCCCTCATCGAGCCCATAAGTTGAAATTAAAAATAGTAAATAGCCAAGTAGGATATAAAATTATTATGTAATTACAAATGTTTTCTATATAAAATTTACCAAAATTGAGCTTAAAATGAAATTAAAAATCGTAGATGAGATCTAAAATTATATAAATATGTATTACAAATGTTGGGTAGAAATTTTATCAAACTTAAGTCTAAGTTGTTTTGGAGATTGTAAAGAATTTCATTATGTACTTAGATTTGGTATGTAATTGGATGTAATTCACTTCTCATGTAATCCAGAGACATGACTAATGCTACTCAATGTCCTATGAATAAATTCCCTCGATGTCATAAATTCCTTTTTATCACGTCCTGACTGAATTTTGCAAGATGTGTAGCAAATACACCCTTGGATAATGATTTGTGTCGTATCTCCTCTTTTGTCTTTTGTGAAGAGACATTTGAGTTATGTTGGGTAAAACTAGTTGATAAACTAGCTTATAAGTGATTTTTGAGTTTATAGTTAAAAAGCTAATTTGTATTATGAAAGTGTTTGGTAAAATTAGCTAATAAACTAACTGAACCTTATTTAAAAAGTTATCCAAAAACAACTTATGAGATAAGTTCTGAGCTTTCTACAACAAATCTCCTCTTAATATAATTTGAAAACGTGCTGAGCCTAAATGACTGCTTCGCACGCTTCGGAAACTTACTTGGCAATATTACATGCTTTGGCTTTTGATTCGGATACATTCCCTAATTGTTTAAAATAAAAATACATGACCTTTTGGTTCGGATACATTCCCTAATTGTTTAAAATAAAATACATTCCCTCATTCTTAAATGCCGTGTAAATCCTCCAACTCCAAATTCTTATCGTATAAAAACATTACATTTTAGGATTCTTATCTTGTCGTGTAAACCAAAAAAAAATTAGCTTTAGATATTATTTTATTTATATAATTAATGTAAACAATAACATTTTTATATAGTTTAATTTAAAAAAAATACTATAATTTTACAAAAAAATATATAGCCACTTGCATATTATATCTTTTCAATCTAACCATAAATAAATTATTTAAATATTTTTAGAATATCTATAAAAATACATTGAAATAGTTATAGAATATTATATGATCTTTCTAATATATTTTAAAAGGTTGAAATAGTTATACAACAACATATGTGTTTTTTCTATTATTTTATGTTTTATATTTTTTTTAAACAACCCGTGTAGTACACGGGTGTCGTACTAGTATAAGTGAATAGTAAATACCTAAGCTACATTCATGAATATTCTTAGACCGGTCCCACTTATTTGTAACTGATAGCCTACTAACTGAAGATCCTAGCCAGCGACTCGGGGCTGTAGAACCTCAGAAGTAATAAAATAATTCATCTTAGGATAGTTACAATTACATGTTCGTGAGTTTTACCATAAACCAAGATGAAAGTAGATTATTTTAGGCTGTCCTTTGACATTTCTCAGTTTCACAAATCACATCTTTCTGAAAAATGGCAGTTGCGTAAAATAAATGGTTGGATTTTCATTTGTATATTTTAGACGAGCATGTTTATGAAGTGGTGGTAGCAGCAATTGCCTAAGCCCACAAGCAAGATAAGTGGTGCGTGTTTGAGTTTTCTGCTTGTGAATATATGCAATTTTTCATTTATTTATTTATTTTTTTTATTTTTTTAAGTGGTGCTAGTATTTTATAGAGTATTCCCCTTTAAAAGTTAATCTCTTTTTTTTTTTTT